TTGCTACATCTTGTTCTTTCTTCTACCTTCTTTCCATTCAACACAGCTGCCATATTAGTCCAGGCTTTCCTCTGTCCTAGATTATTGCCAACAGCCTCCTAATTGGTCTTCTTCCTCAAGTCTGCCCTGCTCCAAGCCACCCTTCATATTGCTGCCAAGGTGATGTTTCCTTAAGTGTAGATCTGACCATGTCACTCTCCAGTTAACTCCTGTGGTACCCTGTTAACTCAAGGATCAAATATAGACTCCTTTGTTTAGCTTTTTAAATAGTCCCTCATAGTCTAGTCTCAGTCTATCTTTGCAGTCTCATTGGCCATCATTTCTTATTCCATACCATGCTGTACCACTAAATTGACCTTCTCTCTGTTCCTCACACAGAATACTCCATCTCCCATCTCTCTGCCTTTGTACTGGCCCTTCCCTGTGCCTGGAATACACTGTCTCTTCACCTGTGTGTCAAAAAAATCTCTCTCTTCCTTTAAGATTTAGTTCAGTTACTACCTTCTACATGAATTTTGTCCTGATCTCCTTAACTGCTAGTGCCCTTCCTCTCTATTTAACTGATTTGTATTTATTCTCTTTATATTTATTTGGTCTGTGCTTATAGATGTCTTTGTTGTCTTCCCTGTTAGAGTAGAAGCTCTTTGAGAAGGAGAGAAATGTTTTCATCCTTTGTATTTGTATGTCTTGATAGTCTGATTCTGATTTGTATGTGTTCATAATTGGTGCTTTTTAAAAAAAATTATTTAGTATTTTATTTTACCCCAGTTACATGTAAAAACAATTTTTAACATTCATTTAAAAAAATTTTTGGTTCCACATTCTCTCCCTTCCTGACTCACTAGCCCACCCCCTCATTGAAAAGGCAAGCAATTCATTATAGGTTATACATGTGTAATATTTCCGTAACGGTCATGTTGTGAAAGAAAACACAGACAAGAAAAATAAAGTTTAAAAAAAAAAGGATGGTTTAATCTGTATTCAGACACCATCAGTTCTTTGTCTGGGGAATGATAGCATTTTTCATCAGAAGTCCTTCAGAGCTGTCCTAGATCATTGTATTGCTGAGAATAGCTGAGTCATTCACAGTTGATCATCTTACGGTATAGCTGTTACTTTGTACATAGTGCATTTCACATTGTGTCAGCTCATATAAGTCTTTGTTTTTCTGAGAGCATCCTGCTCATCATTTCTTATAACACAATAGTATTCCATCATAATCACATACTACGATTTGATCAGCCATTCCCCAATTGGTGAACATTTCCTCAATTTCTAATTCTTTGACTACACAAAAGAGCTGCTATAAATATTTTTGTACATACAGGTCTTTTTCCTTTTTGTTTTTTAGCTCTTTTGGGATACAGACCTAGTAGTGGTATTGCTAAGTCAAAGGGTGTGCATGGTTTTATAGCCCGTTGAGCATAGTTCCAAATGGTAGCACAGAATGGTTGAATCAGTTCACAACTCTACCAACAGTGCATTAATGTCTCATTTTTCCCATAGCCCCTCCTACATTTGTCATTTACCTTTGTTGTCCTGTTATAATTGATGCTTAACAAAAACTTGATTATTGAATGAGAGTAGAGACTTGTTATTTTTGTCTTTATATCCCTGATCCCCTAGCATAGGACCTAATACATAAGAGGCACTTAAGACAAGGATTGGATTGGAGAATACATCTGCTACAGAAGTTTAGGTTGTATTCTGTATAAAGTGGGAACCAATTACAGCTTAGCAAATGGGGGAGATGAAAATAACATTTTGGGAAAATTACTATGTTACTGTGTAGGATAGATTGAGCCAGGTGTGGGGAAAGGACCTGAGGTCAGAAGCTGATTGACGAATCTAAGTAGTGAGGTGTTGGAAACCTGGAGTAGCACCAGATAGATTGACAGGATTTGGTTATTGGATATAGGTTATAAAGGATAAAAAAGATGAATGTATCAAAGATAAATTAAAGGTTTCAAGCCTAAATGAGAGAATAGTGGCAACCTTCACAGAAGTGGGAAAGTTGGTGTGGGACTGCAAATCAAGAAGTTGGGCTAATCTAATCCCAGAACTGCCAGTAATCAGCTAAGGTGACCATGGGTGAATGACTTAGCTCCGTGGGCCTCATTTTCCTCATCTGTAAAATAAAGATACTAGACTAAGTGATCTCTAAGTTTCCTCCCAGTTTGAACATTCTATAATGAGTAATTTGACTTTTTCTGATAAATTTTTGTTTGAAGTGATGAAATATTCAAGTAGAGCTCTACTATATGGAAGGCCAGGGTCAGATATAATAGATTTGAGGGTCATCGGCCTAGAGGTAGTAGTTGGCTGTGAGTCACATTTAATTTATAAAGAGAAAAGGTGTAGGAGAGGAGATATGGCTGGCATTGGAGATTTCCTTTACCATTTGACTTATATATACCCTTGTGAGAAACCTTTACCCTGATGTAAAGGATGCTTTTTTTAAATTTTGTAACATATAAGGGAGAACTGTATAGTTTCACTATACAATTTAATACTTGGTTACGTACTGTCTTACAGTATTTTCTAATTGTTTTGTGCTTTACTTTCCTTAGCTCAGGTGATTGAGGAGAAAGGCAGCATCTTGCATTTCTCACAGTATTTAGAAAGAGAGACAGGGACAGAGCCATACGTACTGTCTTACAGTATTTTCTAATTGTTTTGTGTATTACTTTCCTTAGCTCAGGTGATTGAGGAGAAAGGCAGCATCTTGCATTTCTCACAGTATTTAGAAAGAGAGACAGGGACAGAGCCACAGATGTGAGATTTGTTTCAAAGGTAGAGTCAATAGGATTTGATAACTGAATGTGACAGGTGAGAGAGAAATAAAGACTCAGAAGATAAATGCAGGATTTCAGACATGGTAGATTAAGTGAATATAAGTGAAGCCAAAAGGAGAAGCAGGTTTAAGAGGAAAGATAATGAACTCAGTTTAAGAAATGATGAGGTTGAGATTCTGGTGGGACATCTAGGGTGAGCTTCCCTGTAGGCAGCTGCAGATGTGTCTGGACAGACTGGAGATGAAGATTTGAGAAACTTATCATCTACAGAAGTAGCTACAGTGTATGGAGTGAGACTGTGCAGGGAGAGTGTAGAGAGAGAAAAGGGCCACAGAAAGATCATTGGAAAAGAATCTGTTGTCAGGCTTTCCTGTTGCTTACTGTTTTAAGTTTAAACTACCCTGTCTGGCATGCAAGTCTTCCATAATCTATTCCTATCCTATCTGTACAATCTTATCTCCTGCTATTGTCTAAAATACACTCTCTAAGATAGTCTCACCATTGTCCGCCAACATGTCATGCTTATTCCTGATGGAATATGAGCTCCTTGGGGTCAGGAACTGCAACATATAAATGAAAATAACAAATAAATGACACTAACTGCTATGGAATTAGAATGACTGCCAGTCTTGACCCCAGAGGAGATATAATGAATGTACTTTGTTCCTTTTGTCCAAGAGGCTGGCAACGTTAGGTATGGGATTTCGTACGCGCTATTAGATAACCATCCACTGTGGGTAGATCAGTTTTGCATAATAGTTTTTTTCTTGGTTTCACCTGAGGGTAAGAAGGTGGGGAGTGGTACATACCTAGAATTGACTGTGGTATAAAAAACAAAAGGCATCAATAAGATGTAAATTCTATTCCTCCTTCAGAGGTTTGTTACTTCAGTCCATGAACTTGTTTTAAAAATTTTTTATAACTATATTTCAGTATAACTGGTTTACTTTGTAAGCCTCCGTATTTTATTTTATGCATTGAAAACATTGTCAAGAAAAGGTCTGTTCGTAGGCTTTATACATGACAAAAAAGGTTAAGTCTGATTCAGATCTTAGCTCCCTAAGAAGCTTTTCCTGCTAATTCAGCCCAACCCCTCTCTCTTCTCTGGGTACCTTTTGTACAGAGTCAACATCCCATTATTTAACACTTAATTATCTCCTATCATTCCAACCAGATTACCACCTTCTTGAGAACTGGAGTATCCTCCACAATATTCGTGTTTCTTCTGTATCACCCAAATTGATCTGCATTCTAGTAGAGTTAGCTGGTTAATTTGTAGGTAGAAGACGGGTAGTTATGCACTAGAAATGGGATTTGAGTTTGTAATTCCTTACCCAGATGATGTGTGTGTGTTGTCAGTGTTTCTATCAGGTAGATTCTGTACACTCTGTCAGCCAGGGTTCTTGTTTTCCTTTTTCACTCTGGAGAAACCTGTGTAAACATTTCAAAATTAATGTTGCTTCACACCCTAGATGTTGGGAATATAGGAGATGTGTTAAAACCATAGGTGCCACATACAGGGTAGGTATTTAAATTATTTTAGCTTAAAATTGTACCAAGACGTTTGAGACATCCTGTATATGGAGCCTACTCTCTGGTCCCATGTAGAACAGAATAGCCTGGGACCATTTACCTCACTCCTTGACTTTCAGTAGCATGGTGGGACATAAGGAAGTCTGAGCTGAGCGTTGGGATGACACTCTGCCTGCCTTGACTCAATGACATAATAAAAGTGAAAAAAGTCTATCCCAACAGAAAATAGTGTTTAGTAGTAGCAGCAACAGTGAAGAAAAGGTCTCTTACCAAAAGGGTCAGGCCGTCTGGGTGATTTTTTTCTTCATATTTTTCAAAAAACAACAGATACTTTGTCTCATCAACAGTAATGCTTTTAAAAAACAAAGCTGGTAGACATGTTTTTGCTAGAATTAATGGATTCCTTCCTTTAGGTCTTCCAAGTGAGACTTCTCAATAGAGTTGTAAAAACAAAGGATTCTTATCTTATTGCTCAGAAGTGTCTGCTGTAAGACCACTTACAGGGAAGGATCACTCAGAGGATCTATTTTTGTTTCTGATCATTGATTTTAGGAATGTCACTGAGGTCCTTGAGAGGCTGGAGTTCCTTTGAGCAGTGGTAGTCACCTTGGGGTGATCTGGTTCTTCACTATCATATTTACAGTTTTCTCTTTTTATCTTTTCACCCCATAGACGTCAAGCCATCCAACATCTTGGTGAACTCACGAGGGGAAATCAAACTTTGTGACTTTGGCGTCAGTGGGCAGCTGATTGATTCCATGGCTAACTCTTTCGTGGGCACAAGGTCCTATATGTCGGTATGGACTGCTGGTTAATTTGCTTCGGCTTCTGGCCCAGGGCTCTCAATCAGGAACAGCAACTGATCATCCCCTGGGAAACCAGAGAGCCATGTACTGAATGTCCTTAATTTTGGAAGTTCTTGGTTTGGGGGGCAGGACTGCTGCTTCCCAGAGAGACCACAGAGGGGCAGCTAGGTGGTGCAGTGGATAGAGCACCAGCCCTGGATTCAGGAGGACCTGAGTTCAAATCTGGCTTCAGACACATAACACTTACTAGCTGTGTGACCCTGGGCAAGTCACTTAACCCCATTGCCTAGCAAAAATTAAAACAAAACAAAAAAACCCAAAAAGACCACAGAGTGAGGTTCCATGATTGCTGGCTTTGGGGACTTTACATTATATTCAGGGAAAACACCTTAAAGAGTAAGATCAGAAAAAACACACGTACAAAGAGGATCTCTAAGTTAGGTATTTGATTAGGTGACTTCTGAGGTCCTGTTTAGCTCTAAGAGCCATGAAATACACAAGCTGTTATAATGCACGATGGAACAGAATAAACATCCACTACAGTTGGATGAGAATTATTTAATCACAGTCTAATTCAATCTCTCCTGCATAACTCCTCCCAAATTTATTCCTCCACCCCTGTGTTTTACCAGACTGTCCTCCCTGTTCTCCTCCCCTCTCCTCCCAGTTTCAACTCCTTAAAGTCTACCCTATCCCTCACTCTCTATTTCCTTGCTCCCTTGTACCATCATGAAGAGGAAGCAGCCAGCAGCCATGCTAACTGGATCCAATCTCTGCTTACTTCGCCCTAATAGATTCTTTTTTAAAAGAAAAAAAAATTAGTTTTTGTTGATGTCGCCTGTTTTTTACATCTTAAAGTCTCCCCCAGTATCCCTCTCCCTCCCAGAGAGCCATCCCATATAACATGGTATTTTAGGGGTAGCTAGGTAGCCCAGTGGATAGAGAACTGGCCTTGGGGTCAGAAATGCCTGAGTTCAAATCCAGCCTCAGACACTTGACACTTACTGGCTGTGTGACCCTGGGCAAGTCACTTAACCCCATTGCCTAGCACCCCCCCAAAAAAACCCCCCTAAATTGTATTTTAAATGTTGTATTATATTTTTAGTTTTTGTAAAGATTTCCCAATTACATTTAAAATATTTTTCCATCACTTTATTTAGGTTTTTAAAAAGTTACATTTTTATTTTCAGTTACAAAATTTCTCCCTTACTGCACCCCATTATACATATGAAGTCATGTAAAAAATTTCTGCATTAGCCTTGTTCAAGGGGTAGGGAGAGGAAGCAAGAGAAACAAAGAAAGGAAAAAAAACCATGCATCATTATGAACTCTGAATCCATTGGAAGTGTTCCATCTGGAGATAGATAGTATTTTAAATTGAGTCCTTTGGAATTGCGGTGGGTCGTTATATTAATCAGAGTTACTAAGTCTTTCACAGTTGATTTTCTTTAAAATATTACTCTTAATGTAAATGTTGTTCTCCTGCTTCTGCTCACTTCACTTTGCATCAGTTCATCTTTCCGGGTTTTTCTGAAACTGAAACTGCCTCCCTCATCATTTCTTATAGCACAATAGAATTCTATCACATTCACACACCATAATTTGTTCGGCTATTCCCCAGTTTATGGGCTTCTCCTCAGTTTTCAATTCTTTGCCATCACAAAGAGTTGCTTTAAACATTTTTGTACATATGGGTACTTTTCCCTTTTCTTTGATGTCCTTGGAGGTGTAGACCTAGTAGCAGTATTGCTGTGTCAAAAGGTAGGTACAGTTTAATAGCCTTTGGCATAGTGCCAAATTGTTTCCAGAATGATCAGACAGATTCATAGCTCCCCCAGTAGTGCATTATCATCCTATTTTTTCCTCATCCCTTCCAGCATTTGTCATTTTCCTTTTCTGTCATCTTAGCCCTCTGATGGGTGTGAGGTGGAACCTCAGAGTTGTTTTAATTTGCAATTCTCTAATTATTAGTGATTTAGAGCATTTTTCATATGACCATTGATAGCCTTGATTTCTTTATCTGACAACTGCCTGTTTATATCATTTGACCACTTTTTAATTGAGGAATGAGGCTTATTTTTATAAATTTTGTACCCTATATTTGAGAAATGAGACCTTTTTCATAGAAATTTGCTGTAAAAATTTTCCCCCAGTTTCCTGCTTTTCTTATAGTTTTGGCTATGTTGGTTTTATTTGTGTAAAACTTTAATTTTATGTAATCAAAATTCTCAGTCTTACCTCCTGTGAACCCCTTTATCTCTTCTTTGGTCATGAACACTTCCCCTGTCCAAAGATCTGACAGATAGTTTCTTCCATGCTTCCTTAATTTGCTTGTGATGCCACAGTTTATGTCCAAATCATATACTGATTTTGAGCTTATCTTGGTTTGGGTGTGAGATGTTGATCTGTTTTACGATTTTTTCCAGCAGTTTTTGTCAAATAGTGAGATTATGCTTACTCCTTCAATTTGTTTTTCTTGGCTTATTGCTGTAGGTAGCATTTCAGTACAGCATTGAATATTAGTGGTGATAATGGACATCCTTGCTTCACCTCTGATCTTATTGGAAAGGCTTCTAGTTTGTCTCCATTATAGATAATGCTTGCTCTTGGTTTAGATAGATACTAGTTGAAATTTTTAGAAAAGCTCCGTTTATTCTTCTGTTTTCTAGTTTTTTTAATAGGAATGGGTGTTTTCTTTCATTACTAATTCATTATCCCGTTTCATTCATACTGACTCTAGGTACATCCCAAAGCTCTGTCTGGGTGCCCTTTCTCTAGTCTCTCATTTGATCACCTCATTAGCACCCGTGTGTTCTGTTCTCTCTGTATAGATGACTCCCAGATCTGTATATCCAACCCAGATCTCTTTCCTGAACTCCAGTCTTGCATAACCAGCCACCTATTGGACATTTCCACCTCAGTGGTCTATAAGCACCTGAAACTCAAAATGTCCAAAATTGAATTCATTGTTTTTCCCCCAAACTGATCCTTTCTCCAAACTTCCCTGTTAACTGTGCAGGGCCACCCAGGTCTAAAACCTCTGTGTCATTCTCTGCACCTCATTCTCATCCTACACCTCCAACCACTTGCCGAGTCTTGTTGCTTTAATCTCTCCCACATCTCTCATATATGGCTGTGCCTATCCATGCACACACACAGCTGCTCCCCTGATTTAGGCTTTCATCACTTCATCTGTATTACTGCAATTCATAAACCCTTATTGACCAAGAGTTGGATCTTTTTTTCTTTTTTATCATTTACTTGATGACAGTATTTTCATGGTTATATGCTCAGTCACAACATAGCTAATACCGTATGGGAATTGTGAGAGAGTCTAATGGAAAAAGTTAAATTGTTGTCAAAATGCACAATCGTCAAGATAAGTTATTTTCTAGATTTAAAAAAAAATTTGTGTGCTTGTGTAAGAGCATTTGAAGGCTTACGGAGTGCTTCCTTTACCACATCCCTATCAAGTATGTATTTCAAGTGTTATCCTCATCCTCACAATGATATAGCTGTCAAGGGTTTTGAGGCAGGGTTTGAAATCAAGTCTCCTGACTCGTCTAGTACTCAGTACTGTGCCACACTGCCTCCTGGTGGTGTATTCTTTTAAAGTACCTTCCCAAGTACCTTCAGTGAGCATTTATGAAGCACCCACTATGTGCTTGGCACTGTACTAAATGCTGAAGATGCAGAGACAGTGAAATAGTACTTGCCCTGAAGGAGCTTATATTCTCTTCAGGGAGGGAAGACTGCAGTTTACGATTTTAATTCTTTCAGCAGTCTTGTGAATTAAATAGAGTAGATATTATGCCCTATTTTATCAGTGAGGAAGCCAAGGTTCAAAGATGTTAAAAAGTGACTTGCCCAGGTGCACACAGCTGATTCTAGAGCCTGAGTCATTTAGCTTAATCAAGTGTTCTTTCCATTGCAATACACTGTCCCTTTAGAGAATTTTAGGCCCCCTTGTCACTTCTGAGACCCAAACACATCTGAAAAACCCAGGCAACATGACTCTTCATAATAATTCTCACCTTTTATTTTTTATTTTTTATCTTTTATTTTTTATTTTTTTGCTAGGCGATGGGGTTAAGTGACTTGCCCAGGGTCGCACAGCTAGTAAGTGTCATGTGTGTGAGGCCAGATTTGAACTCAGGTACTCCTGAATTCAGGGCTGGTGCTCTATCCACTGCGCCACCTAGCTGCCCCTAATTCTCACCTTTTAAAATGGCGTGGCTATTAGCAAAGAGGTGCTATAAAGGCAAAGCAGATGCCCAGGTGTGGGAAGCCATTGTCAAGGTGCACATTTGACAGGTAACTGATGTCAAAGGCTGGTCTGAGATTTTCTGCTGGTCAGCTGATCCAAAATGGAGCAAATCAGAATGCTGAGGTTAGGTAGAGTAATGAGTCAGAGTTGGGGGGACCCAATCAGGACTAGGAGAGCAGAGTATTTTAGTTTGAGAAGATAGCCAGAGGTCAGAATGTTGAGGGTCATTAAAGGAGGAACAGAACAGGAATACATCAGTGGATAGTAGCACAGAAAGGACTGAGTTGAGCCTGTCAACAGAGGCAGCCTTTTACATAGTCTTAGAAAAAACTGGTGTGTCTTTCTTGTTTAAGTGAGATCTCTTCCTGAATTGGTACTGGGAACAAAAATCAAAAGTCAGATACCTAGCTAGAGAGAGGAGAATGGGGGTAGTGTGAACATAGATGTTGTTGTTTTGTTTGTTTGTTTTGGTGAGGCAGTTGGGATTAAATGACTTGCCCAGAGTCACACAGCTAGCGAGTGTTATATGTCTGAGATCACATTTGAACTCGGGTCCCCCTGACGCCATAGTTGGTGCTCTATCCCTTGTGCCACCTAGCAGCCCCTAGATCTTAATAGCAGTCTTTTGTTCCTGGGGTTAGCACTTCTCTCACTAGGGCTAAGATATTTTATAAAATTATTAATATTATTCATGATGACAATGATATTTCTCTCTCTCCCTCTGTCTAATACAGCCAGAAAGACTCCAGGGAACTCACTACTCAGTACAGTCAGACATCTGGAGCATGGGACTTTCTTTGGTGGAGATGGCAATTGGACGATATCCCATTCCACCGCCAGATTCCAAGGAGCTAGAACTGATGTTTGGCTGTCCAATGGAGGGAGATGCTCCTGAGACGTCACCAAGGCCAAGAACTCCTGGGAGGCCTTTAAGCTGTAAGTTTCCCAGAAATATCTAGCTGCTCAGAATTAGGCAATCTCTAACTGGCTTTGGTCTCATTCAGACAACTCAGCAAATATACTAAGTGTTTATTATGTACTAGGTGTCATTGCAGTCACTGCAAAGACAGTGGTTGAGAGACAGAGATAAATGTTATATTCCTATCACATCAAGTCTGTCAGCAGTGACAGGTGATCAAAGGATCACAGACCTGGCAGGAACCTTGAAGGATATCTATTGCAGTCCCTTCATTTGTGAGCACATGAGACAGTGTGGCAAAACAGAGAGTACTGAATTTGAGTTAAGTCTCCTGACTTAAATTCTGCCTGAGAACACTTACCCAGTTGTATCATCTTGGATAAGCCACTTAATTTCTTTGGGCCTCAGTTTCCTCATCAGTAAATTGAGGATAATAATACTTGCTGTAACTGCTTTATAGAGTTGTTTTATGATGATGAAACAGAAGCCCAGAGGAGTAACTTTCCCAAGGTCATAGGTAGGAAAAGCAGCAGAGTGAGGATTTTTCCCCAGTTTCCTGCTTCCAGGGGGTCCACCACTTCCCTGAGCACATTCCAAGACATGGAGAGCCAGATTGTGGGAAGAGGATGCAATCGCCAGAGGCCGGGTTAGGGTACAATTCAAGACTATGGGACAGGTAGTTGGGAGAATCTGTGTGAAACGCTCTCCAACATAGCTTAGAGTATTTTTTATAGATCACAAATGGACCTGATATTAAGGAAGGTTCTGTCACATCAGAAGCTTCTTCATTTACTTTTTGCCAGACCAGAAACAAATCCCAGGGCTATACTGAGATCTCCCAGTCTGAGGGGATTGACATAATCCCTGTCTTCATGAGTGCAGTACTTCATGAGCCCCATAGGGGCCTGTATGTAGCTAGAATGGCATAAAGAGGTCATAGTTGAGACTAGTTTTTCTGACTCTGAAAGTACAGGTGGTTGTGAGCCGCTACATCTAATGCGAATGGTCCTGGATGAGAAGATCTGATGATGAGCCTGTTTGAGAACTAAGAGGGCTGTTGTCCCATGAAGTCTTCAGTCCACCAATAGTCTTTTCCCCTGTTGCATAGCAAGCTACCCTTCCCCACCCTCCCACCCCCATTTCCTTTCCCCCTCACGTTCTTGCCTTGACAGCATCTTTTCCTTGAGACAGGTATGTTCTATATTCTAGACTTTACTTTTGTCTTTATTAGCAAGGGGAGCATTACCCAGGGAGTTTTATTACACAGTAATAAAGTGACTTCATCCGATAAACCCATTTTCCTCTTTCTGAAATTTGCAGCTTATGGAATGGATAGCCGACCACCTATGGCAATTTTTGAGCTGCTGGATTACATAGTCAATGAGGTAAATACAGCATGATTTCCCAAGTCTTGGAGTCTGGGGAAATGGGGACAAAGGACAAAATAACTACTGGGTAAATAGTGAGTTGTTGAGATGTGTGGGGCAGGCTGAAGTTTTTCTACTCAGCAGTCTTGGCTTGGTTCATGAATAATTATTTTGGAACTAATTAGACTCTGGTGATAATTCTAGAATCTTTTCCCAAAAGGAAGCCTTTAGAACATCTCCATTCAATAATGGTAGTGTCTTATAAATCATAGATCATCTGGAATAGACTGAGAGATTCCCAGTGTGCTTCTCCAGGCCACACAGCACAGCCAAGAGTAAAGCCCAGCTGTGCTCAGCACTGTCCTACCAGCCTCCAAGAGGTTATCCAGAGGGGCTCCATAAAAATAGGATAACTGGAATGGGGTCCAATTATGGAGGCCTAATGTGTCAATAAGAACTTAAACTTAATGCAGAAGTTCTGGCTACCCTGGAAGAAAGGGAACTTGAATCTAGAATCACTGGTTAGTGGTTTCTCTCTTCCTTTTGGCCATTCTTTCCTTCCCTGGACAGAAGAGACAGTTCATGATGACTGATCTTTGTTCTGTGTACCTGCCTTTCTGTGCTGGGTTTCATCCCCAATCTCAGTTTGGATTTATTCACCTGCTTTAGTCTTTCCTTTCTCCTTCCTGGCTAATAATCATGCTCTCATTGCAGTGACACTGTATTTCATCATGGGCTGAACTTTGGGTTTAGCAGTTTTTGTTGTTCGTTTGTTTGGGTCTGTCTGACTCTTTGTTACTGCATTTTGGGTTTTCTTGGCAAAGATACTGGAGTGGTTTGCCATTTCTTTTCCAGCTCATTTTACAAATGAGGAAACTGATGCAAACAGAGTTAAATGATTTGCTTAGGGTCACTTAGCTAGTATGTATCTGAGACCAGATTTGAACTCAGGTTTTTCTGACTCCAGGCCTGGCACTATCTATCCACTGCACCACTTAGCTGAAGCATGGGGCTTTCTTTGGTGGAGATAGCAATTGGACAATATCCCATTCTACCACCAGATTCCAAGGAGCTAGAATTGATGTTTTCTGTCTAGTGGAGGGAGATGCTGTAGATACACATTAAAATGCATTTACTCTGTGATTCTGTCTTCTGACTCTGAGTCTGTAGTGGTTTTGAACTGATCTGTCACCATGACAGCATTGATGCATGTTCATTCCCAAACTCCTGTTACTTTTGGTTTATTTAACCATAAGCACTGGCACCTGATAGGCATTCGGGCAAAGTGGGCAACAAAAGGGGGGAAAAACCCAAACCACTAGTGTGTCAGCTTTCAGTCTCATCACATTATCTTCCAGTCCTTAGCTATTGATTAGATCAGGGCCATCCTATTCCCTATATGTCTTGAACTTGGGGTGGGAAACCTGCAGCCTGAGGCTGCATGTGGCCTTCTGGGTCCTTGGGTGCGGCCTTTTGACTGAGTCCAAGTTTTACAGAACGAAATCCTTTTATTAAGGGGATTTGTTCTGTGAAGTTTGGATTGAGTCTAAAGTCTGCACTTAACTTGAGGACCACCAGGCCAAAGGTTCCCTACCCTGGTCTAGGAGGTTGCTTTCATAATGAGGCTCAAGAAAGGAAGTTTGTGAGCTGTGCTAATGGGGGGGGGGAGGTGTGTGGACTCTGGATCATGGAATTCTTCAGAGAATCCCAAACCCTCCTTTTACCTTAGTGCTTCAGCCTTTTCCACTTTCAAGTCCTAGTGGAGCTCTTACCAAGCCTGATGTGATTTTTCACAAGGATGATGCTTTAAAAAAAAAAAAGTAATAATACAGTGAAAATTCAGTTATACAGAACTCTTGCCCAGCTAAAACTATTGATTCAATTGTGCTAAACTTTGAGAAAAGAGATAAATTAGTATCAGTTACTTTATTTAGAAATGTGACATTTAAGAGATTCAAGAGGCAAGTTTCTGGGTAATTAGCCATTTTATTAATAATGCTAGCATATTTTTAATAAAAGAGGTCAGTAACACTTAAACGCCAAAGACCCCTCATGGAATCCACTCAGTGCTATATATGCCCTTGGAAGGGTATGTATTTTGAAGGTATCAATTAACTGATTGGTTAACAAATGAGAAAATGAATATTGTAATCAGAGGTACGCCTATTCTAAAGAGGGGCTAAGGGACATGACTTTGATCATATCATTTACTTTAAAATCATCCCCTGCATTGGGCAATTTAATGAAAAGAATTTACCTCCACCCAGACCTAAGCAGGGCACCATGGGCCACCTCTCCACTTGTGTGGGGTCTGAACAAGATTGTTAAGAAAAAGTTAATCCAGTCTCGTTATTATCAATGTCCTTCAAAGACTGAACAATCTACAGGCTTCTGAAAAAATCCTGGTCCTAATTCAACAATTGATTATTAATATGAGAGAGAGATAATCACTTCTCTCAGAAAACAACTTTCTGGGTGTGTCCTAGGCTAGTGCCTCGTCAGCCTAATCCCTTACCTCCTCACAGGCCTGGGCTGTGGCCCCTTGAGGCACTGTCCTCAGTTAGGGAAGACACTTATCAGTCACTGATGGGGCATTCCACATCCATCTTAGTAGAGACGTTTTCAGCCATAAGAAATAGTTTTCTGCTTTACTTTCCTGAAGGTTAAAATTCATTATACAGTCTCCTTCTCCCTAGCTCACTGAGCATTTTGTCACTAGATGTTTTACTGTAAATACCTTATGTTTGCTGAGCATGCTTAACACATCATATCCTTCTTCTCCTGGCAGAAGTGCTAACAAGCAATTAAATGACCAAAAGTTAGGTAATAAAGAAAGAAAAAAAGGATGAAGACAAAGGGCTTAGTTAACCCTTAGCCTGAGTAATGTACTTCTTACTGTGAATTGTCAATCTAGCAATCATTTAAAAAAAAATAGTGCCTGCTGTGATTCCAACACTTCTCTTTGTCTCCTTCTCTCTCTGCTCCCAGTCTCACAAAGCCCTACCACAGGCATGAAAGAAAGAGGTTCATATAGTGGAAAAAATAGCACAGTAGAGAGACATTTAAGTTCCAATCTTGCCTACATATATTTTCTAGCCATGTGATCATGAATGAATTGATCTCTCTGGGATTTAATTTTTCTTTACAATCAAGCAATAAACGTTTATTGTTCAGTTGTTTCAGTCGTATCCAACTCTTTGTGACCTCATTTGGGGTTTTCTTGGCAAAGATACTAGAGTGGTTTGCCATTTCTTTCTTCAGCTTATTTGACAGATAAGGAAACTGAGGTAAATAAGATTAACTGATTTGCCTAGGGTCACACAGCTAGTAAGTTGTCTGGGGTTAGATTTGAACTCAGGAAGATGAGTCTTCCTGACCCCAGGCCCAGTGTTCTATCTACTCTGACATCTAGCTGCCCTCTTTCTTCAAATTACTCCCCTTCTTTTCTAGCTGCAGTGGCCACAGCTTCTTCCTGGTCAACCTTCCAACTCCTCCTCCTCCTCTCTCAGAATCCTAGTCTTTTCCTCAATGCTGGCTTATCTCTGGCACTGCCTCTGCTATGAAGCCTGTCCTGCTTACCTCTAGTTGTTATTGTTCTCCCTGTCCTCAGATTACATTTTGTCTCCCCAAGCAAAACCTAAACTCATGGAAAGTAGGGATTGTTTCATCTTGGCATCCCCAGCACCTCACACAGTGTCTTGCACCTAGTAGTCATAATAGTCAGTAAACATCAGCTGTGTGCCAGGCACTGGGGGGACAAACCAGAAGAATGACAGTCACCACCATCCTGGTGCTTACTAGCTCTTGGGGAAGACAAAGGTAATCCACTAAAGGACAGAGGGGTGGGTTCATGGCTTCATCCTCCAGCCCTCCAGGCAGAGGAGAGAGGCTAGTGAGGGGGCTAAAGAGGTGTTGAGTTGAGTGTCAGAATTGAATCAGTCTCTGTGATGAGCTTATCCTGGGTGGGGGAGGCATGATGTTCTTGCAGTTGAAACCAAGCAGAGCAGCTAGCTGATGGTAAGTGGATTTATTAATAAGTAAGTGTTTGTTGAAATGAGTTAGCCAAATTTCATTTGAATTTCTCCAAAGGGTCCATTTTCACTTTAAGTCCTTTTTGCAGTTTTGGTGAGCTTACATCCTTAATAGTCTTCAATTTTCCTCTCTGCATTGTTCTGCAAGTGAGCTTGTACTTGAAGCTATTGTTGTGGCCCTTGGCCACCATATTTCTCCATGTTGAGGTTCAGCTCAGTTAAGAGTTAATAGTTTGAGGTAGTTTCTGTTTTCTTTCAGCCCCCTTATATTTTGTAGTGACTGTTCTGCATTGGTTAAACATTTCTGAGAAATTGTGATGTCTTTACAATCCATATCTTTTTTTTTAGAGACAGCTTATTCAGATAGGTTGAATTGGAACTGATGTAGTCATATCCAATATTATCTTCTTGACATCTTTTTATTTGGAATTTACTTTATCCTTTGCCATAACTAGTTGATCTAAAGACATTCAAACAAGTAATTCTGAAATAAATGGCGAATCTGTAACTGGTCATTTGCTTTCCTTTAGAGATAAAAGCAGTTTCATTTTTATTAGGGGTCAGTTATAATTGTTCTGGGCTTTCCAAGTCCTACATTTTTTTCACTCTTTGGGAAAGTCTTCATTATGTCCAGGCCTGGCATTTCTGAGTAATCTGCAAATCTCTTTCATTTCTTGATCCTGATCCATATTTTCAACTCATCTTCCACATTCCCATTTTCAAGTTAAAGTCACCACAGATAAAATATATGTATTTACTTAGCTTGAATGATCTGGTTAGTTACTCGGTAGAATTTCTGTGGTTCTTCATCCTTTGAAACAGATGGTCAATCAACAGTCATTTATAACCTGCAGTTATCTTCATGATGATACTGTTTTCTTATGTTCGTTGTGAGCCCTACAAGGTGACCGAGTGTCCCATTTTATGTTTCTTATTGTCTTTGTCCACATAATGAAACCAACTGTTTTAGTCACTTTTCCAAAGAGAACCTATAAGCTTTCATGAGAATTTGATGTGGACATGGTCCTATCTGTACAGTAGTGTGGACTTACAGTTCTGGGATCATAGATTTAGAGCTGGCAAGGACGTTGGAGCTAGAGTCCCATTCACTTACAGATGAGGACACTGAGCCCCAGGGTCACACAGCTCCTGAGAGTCTGAGCCTGGATTCAGATTGAAGTCTTCCTGAGTCCCAGGTCTGTCTAACACTCTCTGTAGTACACCAACACTCCTTGCTGAGCATTAGACAAAGATTGCATGTTATCAGCAGTTTCTTGCTTGTACTTAGTGAGTCTTAGCAACCTCTGCTTCCTTTTTTCCACCACTTTCATTACAACTATAAGCATTTTGTATTTTTGTCCATCTTGTCTGTTGCCATGACCAAATAAATTTATTAACTGGTAACAAGACGTCTGGTGATGAAGCATCAGTGTTTAAACTACACCTTGATCTATTGCCAGGTCTGAGCTAATCCTTTCTGTCTTGCAGACTCTACAACAGCATGCACTCTGGCATAACCTTAAACTGCCCCAGGTCACCTGCATACCACAGTGAGGCATTAGAGTAAGATTATTATAGTTATCTATATGTATGGAAAGTGGCAAATGAATGGTTCACAGGAGAGAGGGAACACTTGAGGAGTAGTTGGAGAGAAGACTCCATGGAGTAAGTGGGACTTGAGCTACCAGGAGTGAGGAACCTGCAGCCTCAAGGCCACATGTGGCCCTCTGGGTCCTCAAGTGCGGCCCTTTGACTGAATCTAAACTTCACAGAACAAATCCTGTTAATAAAAGGATTTGTTCTGTAAAACTTGGACTCAGTCAAAAGGCCACACCCAAGGACCTAGAGGGTCACTTGGTGGCCTCAGGGCCACAGGTTCCCTACCTCTGAGCTAGACTTTGAAGGACAGTCAGGTTATGGATTAGGTAGAAGAGAAAGAAGGGGTGGAGGTGGGGAAGGCATCTTAGGGAATAGTCTAGAAAGATGTGGACCTGTGTGGCCATAGAAATTGTGAGAGATAAGACTGAAAGGCAGGTTGGGGCCAGCTTGTAGTTGATTGGATATAACTAGGATAATTTTAGGAAATTTGAAAAAGAAAAGTCTTCCTTGGTTATTGTTATGGAGAAATGGGCTAGGGCATACATTCTAGTCCTGCTTGCTCCTATTTGAAGATTTTGTAAAGTCCTTGTCTCAGTTTGGTTGTTCCTAAAAACAGTAATGGGCAACAATCTTGTCTGAACATGATAATCTTCATGGAGATCAGGAAAGGCTCTTTCCTTATAAGGACCCTTTTTCTAGAGTGTTTGGGTAGCATTCTTCTAAATCGTTCCCCTCATAGAATTAATGATTGATTGCTTTTTCGTTTACATTAACTACATCCCTTTCCCATGTAGACGCATATCTTTAGGAAACTTTCTTTCTTATTTTGTTAGAACCATTGAAGAAGATCTAGTTTCCCTCCTGTCAGTGACTAACAAATTAGGTCAAAAACACCATTAATTATACTGCTAAACATCTTCTGACCAAATATGGAGAGTGGTGTACCTGATTCCAGCAAGATAGACAGTCTTGGCATCATCACACCAACAGTACATCTTAAGAACCAGGGAGACTGAACTGTGTCCTTCCTTCGTGTTAATAACTCAGGGGCAAGCCTACCATAAGGCAAGGGGGATGGAAGAGATAAATATGGTTAAGAACTAACCTGTGGGAGGGTTCAGTGACCACTCTAGAGAGTTAGGTCTGATGTTTTGTCATGTCTTTCAGCCTCCTCCAAAGTTGCCCAGTGGAGTCTTTAGTCTGGAATTTCAAGATTTTGTGAATAAATGGTAAGTTGGCCTCTTATTCCTTTTAATTAATTAATTAATTTTTAGTTTTCAACATCTACTTCCATAAACTTTTGTGTTTTAAATTTTCTCCCCTTCCCTCCCTACTTCCCTCCCCAAAATAGCATGCAATCTGATATAGGCTCTACATATACATTCCTATAAAACATATTTTCACATTAGTCATGCTGTAAAGAATTAGAACCAAAAAGAACCACATGGCTTCTTACTCTTAGAAAGTATATCCTAAAGAATTTGGTTTTTAATATTGGACTATAGTCCTCTATAGGATTCCCAGATTTGGCTTTTCTGGTGGTAACCCACCATGGCTTTTCCCTTCTGAGCATTTTAGGTTATTCTCCCATGGGCTTCTGGGTTTATGTAAGTTGTGGGTTACAAGACTTATATAAGATAATCACACTGCACATTACATTGAGCTTAATAACTTATCCTTTGGGAGTTAATTTTGTAGAGACTAGTAAATTTTTTTTTTTACCTTCAGAGAGAAATAATTTTCATTTGCTTTTCTTTTAAGCCTAATAAAAAACCCAGCAGAGAGAGCTGATTTGAAGCAACTTATGGTAAGTAAAATCTTAATAGATTTCTCACTAATAACTGTCACTAACCCTAAGGAAATGTAGGGCCAGGGCAAATTGTATGGTGTGCCTATTGCTCAGTATTTGGATACAGGGTGGAATCCAAATTAAATTAACTTTAAGGGCAATATTGAAGGAGAAAAAAGGTTGTCAAAGGTTAGCATGCAACTTGAAAGATGGCCTCATCTACTTCCTGATGATGGTGGGGAGTTTCATAGTGCATAGTCTTTTTTTTAAGGCCATCCATTCATAGCCATACCTCCCTTCACTTTCCTGAGCCATTACCCAACCAGCCGCAGTGGATGGGAGACCCTGTTAATCTTGAACAAGCTCAATTCATCATCTTGACTATTGTATTCCTTTTGAATCTTATTTTTCTTGATTAAACATAATTTTCCTTATTTGGAACTTGTCAAGTACCAAGTAAAATGAGACTATTTCTACATACATTGAAGAACAGGAGAAGATTATAGATGAAGTTACAGAGAGTTTGCTTTTCTTTTAAAGTATATAATTATTTTAAATATGTACTTTTCAAAGCTGTCCTGCTTATCTGTAATTTCCTCAGTTCTCATTTCAGAGAGATACCCCTTTTCTCTCTATGTCCTTTCTATCCCACCTTTGATAAAGATCTCTCTTTAAATAAAAAGAAAAAAAGTATTTCTAACTATATCCATAGTTAAACATAACAAATCCTCGCATTTCCACGTCCAAAAATGAAATGTCTTACTAAGCAATTTGAGTCCATCACCTCTTTTATCAGGAAGTGGGTAGTGTGCTTTATTATTAGCCCTTCGGAATCATGGTGGTTTATTACATTGATCAGAGTTGATCACTGATCCCAAGTCTTTCAGAACTGTTTCTCTTTACAGTGCTGTTATTGAATAAATTGTTCTCGCTTTTTTCACTTTATTCTGCATCAGTTCCTGCAAGTCTTCCTAGATTTCTCAGAAACCATCCCTTTCATCATTTATTGTGGTACAGAAATAGCTCATTACATTCATATATCATAGTTGGTTGAGCCATTCTCCAATTCACAGACACCCCCTTAATTCCCATATAGTAAAACTATATCAAAAAGAGATAATGCAGATATTTTTACACGTATTGAACTGGATCTTTTGATGTTGTTCTGATGTTGCTTCTTCACATTTTCTCACATATAGGTTCATGCTTTTATCAAGAGGTCTGATGCCGAGGAAGTTGATTTTGCAGGCTGGCTGTGCTCCACCATAGGCCTTAACCAGCCTAGCACACCAACTCATGCTGCTGGCGTCTAAAGTGTTTCTTTGGGAAGCTGGAGAAAGGCAGCTTCCTACCCCATTGTGCAAAACGATGCTACCTTAGGTCCTATTTCTCATGCTTGTCTCTGTTCAGATGTGCATTTTACCCTGTGAAGAAGGATGAAGAACATAGCATGTGCCAATTCTGTTTGTTTTGTTTTTTAATTATGATTACTCTCTTGGAATTGGCTTTGCATTGGGGGCTTCTTGTTTGTGTTAATGACCCCCAAAAAAGTGCGCGATGTTGAGTTAGTGAAATTTTGACAGTAGTGGATATTTTTTGTATCGCTGCTCTTTCAGCCTCAGCTGGCTGGCTTTGTGATTTTGTTTTGGGGGGGTGGGGAATCTTTTGACACTTGGTGGTACTTCATTCTCTCAAGGCTTTTTACTCTCTTCCAGAAAGTGGAAGGGAGGAGCCTCACAATGTCCTTCACAAGCAGTGCATGGGAAGCATGCTTTCGCTGCTATGAAAACAAGCATTAGAAAGTGGATGTCACGGTGTTGTAATTTTTTTTGCTTTCTGTGTAGAATCCAGCTGTTTTCACCTAAATCAAGTTAGAGCCCCACACTGCCATAATAGCCAGGGCTTCATCAGTCTACTGTGAGGACTTAGAGACTTGTGGCTATATTTCTATATTTATTTTTAAAATATTCTCTGTAGGATATTCAGAGTTGTTTGGTGGTGTATGTCTCTTAATTTTTGACTGGCATTTCTAAAACAGTGGGGTTTTTTTTTGAATGTTACCCATGGATCAAGTCATTAAAGTTCATCAGATTTATCTTTCTCCTAATCCAATTACAGAATACATTGTAAGAGAACTGTGTGTATAGTGCCTAAAAATTGTATGGAGATCCTTTTAACCATTTTATTTTCAAATGTTTAACAAATCTAATCTCTTATTCTAATAAATATATCATCAGGTTTAAAAGAAGAGTTGAAGAGTAGTGATTTCTGTGTAAATTACCTCAGGTGGTGATGTTTTTATCATTCTACAGGAAAATGGTCATTTTGGTTTCTTAAACCTAGCTGAGCCTTTTTATGTGGGTGAAAATAGGGAGGGTTGCAAGAAGGAAATACTGGACCAAGAGACAGCTTGCAGCTTGAAGCTTTTGGCTAATGTGCCTTTGGTTGCCTTCCTGTCATTTTATATGTCTAGAAGCCACATCAAAAACGATTGCAGCAATGTTCAAAATCTCTCCCACCATGCACCCTTATTTATAAATAAGCATCTTCCAATAGCTTTCCTCTTGAAATATGAAAGGACCCTATTTGTCCTTCCCACCCAGTTTTCTTTTTAATTCAGTTCAACTTCATTTTCAGTTTCACATTCTTCTCCCCACCTGTTGAAAAGGCAAGAAAAAACAAAATCCATTACAAATATGAATAGTCAAATTTCCACATTAGCTATGTACCAAAAAAAAAAAAAAGAGAAAACATGCTTCAATCTGTACTCTGAGTCTACCCACTCTGTTTAGAGGTAGATGGAATGTTTTATCATGAGTCCTTTGAAATTGTAGTTGGTCAGTTGTATCGATCAGTTACTAAGTCTTCCAAAGTTGATTATCTTTACAATTATCATTGTTACTATGTATGTTGTTTTCCTGGTTCTTTTGCACACTTCACATCAGTTCATATAAGTCTAATTAGGTTTTCCCAAAACCATCACCTTCATCGTTGTTTACAGCACAGTATTCCATCACAGTCATATACCATAACTTGTTCAGCCATTCCCCAATTCCAGTTCTTTGACCTAGACCTAGTAATTCTTAATTCTAATTCTTAGGCCTAGTAAATCACTGAGTCAAAGGGTATGTACAGTTTAATAGCTTTTTGGGCATAGTTTCAAATTGTCCAAAATGGTTGGACTAGTTCATAGCTCCAGCAACAGTTCATCAGTGTAGCTGTTTTCCCATATCCCCTCCAGCATGTTCTTTGTTTATTTGTTTCTGTTTTTTGCTAGGCAGTAAGTTTAAATAACTTGCCCAGCTAGTAAGTATCAAGTGTCTAAGGCAGAATTTGAACTCAGACCCTCCTGACTCCAGGGCTGGTGCTCTCTATTCATTGTGTCACCTAGCTGCCCCTCCAGCATTTGTTATTTTCCTTGTTTGTTATCCTAGCCAATTTGACACCCACCTATTTCTTTCAAAAAGTGAAGGGTAATGGTCTGGAAAAAAAAAATCTTAAGACAAATCTGAAGGTCCTTGGGAATCTTAACTCTTTACAGTCTTGTCTCTGCCCCCCCTCCCCCCCAACACGCACATATAACACATGTGCTTAACTGGCTATAACAGATTTTTCTAAGCTGAAGTATTCTTGTATCTTCTAGGATTCATCAGTGTCCAGAGAGTATAAATGTTTGCCTATGTGTGAGGGCTGTTCAGTGTTGTATCCCTTGTGTCATTTTCTAATTATATGGAAGTCATAGCTGTAGAATACTCAGATACATGTTTAAGTATATAGGATAGTCTTTCTTACTTGCACCTTATTCCCCATCCCACCTGTTATTTGGGATTACCAACTTAAAGGAATGAGACGTTTTTGAAATGACTAGCAAAAACCTTTCATGATTTACTGGCATCAGTAGGACTTACTTTTACAGCACTTTAGAAACAGTCTCATAAAAATGTGGGAATCGGTTTCTAAAATTCATGCTCATGGCACTAAAAGGTTGTATATATTTTGTGTCTTGTGCTAATGCTCTTCATAGGTCAGCAAGCTGAATTTTATATCATAGCTCTCACTAAGTCGCCAAAAGACAAATGACTTCTACATTCCTGGCAATTTATTCCTTTTAAGGTTTTTAATGATTCTTTTAATGGTTGAGTTTGGGCTTTTACCGCATGTAAACTTAAAAGACATTGTCTGAACTTCCTCCCTCATTTTCTTCTTTGCCAGAGCAAGACTACATAGCCAATAAAAACATTTGACAAAAGGGACTTTTGCTTTATCAAATAAAAAAAAATCTGGGAAATATCTTCTGGTATGCTGATCCCTGACCTACTAGATGCTAGAGTGAGAACTTGAATGAGATTTTTGTGATTCAATTAAAAAGGACAAACATTCATGGCTTAAATTTCTTGCTTCATTTTTTTTTTAGTGAGGCAATTGGGGTTAAGTGACTTGTCCAAGGTCACACAGCTAGTATGTGTCAGGTGTTTGGTCTGCGGCCAGATTGGAACTCAGGTACTCCTGACTTCAGGGCCCGTGCTCTGTCCACTGCACCACCTAGCTGCCCCTCTTGCTTCATTTTAGAAAAGGCAAAATAGTTCTTTAAAGGTACAACACTACTATAGCATTATCACTTTGATCTAAATGCGTTGACTTAAATATTCTGGTCAGTTTTCAGGTTTCATAACTGGAATAACTTATATCTTGATCACTGAAGCACTGATCAAGATGAGTTTTAGCCCTGATTAAGTTTACTTTTTTCTAGTCATACCCCAAAGGAGTAATAACATTTAGTGCACCTAAGAATAATTATACCCTTAAGCACTTCTCTTTTGCAGTCTTCCTCGTTTGTGTTCCCATATAGAACATTTAGAACTTATTCAAAACTTCTCTCTGTCCTGGAAATTATTAATGACATTACATTGACTAAAGTGAATAGAAAACCACTTTTAAAATGAACACTAGATGATATTTTCAAAGAAACATGTGTTTCAGTTTCTAATTCCTATTTCTAATTTATTGAAGGCTTGATTTTTAAATCAAGTATCGTCATTACTGGCACAGTTTAAAAACTGCAGAAGAATACCTGTTTTTTCTGTGTTTGGGGCTATGTTTTGTTACTTGTACTGTGCAAATCTGAACAACTAAATTAGTCTTATCCTGTCTGAGAAGGGAAAGAGCATATTAATGAATCTTGACCACAAATGAGTTTTTACATGTCCTATTTCTTTAGCATTTTCCTTTTATTGTAAAAACAAATCCACTCATGTATCTCTTGAGACATCTTAAAAACATGGCACATTTCCTTAAATATAAAAATGATTTTTAAAACAATTCAATTTTATTATAATATGTATTCTACAAGAACATGGTTTAGCTCTTCTCCTTTGGTATCCTGTAGACAGCATTTTTTATCTAAAATTGACTCTGACCACATTTTACCACAATGTGGTAAACTCAAATTAAGATATAGTCACAACCACACCAAGCAACATCTCATGTGCCATTCAAACAGCTTACCCTCTCTATATGAGAAGCTGAATCCCATTATATCTCTTCTTCACTTTTCCATCTACTAGATTCTAGAACTTAGAACGTGGCCTTGCTCTGTTCAATGGTGTGTCTTTGCTTGTCAATATATATTAGAAAAATATGAAAGGCTGGCTTACATTAAACTTTTCTGGTTGCAAATACATGAGTATTTCAATAGAATGTCACATGGAGTTTTACCTCTAGTATGTATATGTATCTAATTTGACTAGCTTATATGAACTTGACCTTTTTTTTTCCCCAAACGGTAAAACATAGATCCTCCAGTTTCCTATCTATGGTCAATTTTTGTTTTAACTCAGCACTGAAGCTTCAATGGGCTATGGTGTCATTTTAATAGTGCATTTTTTGAGAGTTTTTCATTCCCTGTTAACAGGCCATAATGATTGTACTGGAATGGTTTCTTTGAACAGAGAAAGTTCATTAATCTTAAAATTAACTTAGATAAATAATTCTGATTTTTCCCTTTCTCCTTTAGGAATCAGATTCTTCTTCCTCCTCCAACAGGCCATAATGATTGTACTGGAATGGTTTCTTTGAACAGAGAAAGTTCATTAATCTTAAAATTAACTTAGATAAATAATTCTGATTTTTCCCTTTCTCCTTTAGGAATCAGATTCTTCTTCCTCCTCCTCCTCCTCCTCTTCTTCTTGAGCATGGTTTCTTGTGCTTAGCTGTAATTCAGTTTGATTGATGGAAGTTTCATTATCTACCTGCACCAAGATCTGATGGGGCCAAAGAAATCATACGTTAATATTTTTTAAGCAACCAAACACTTAAAAAATGCCAGGTCTTAAAACTAGAGCTAAATCTTTACTTTTCTCATCTCTAAGACATTGAAGAACCAGACTCACAGAGTATAGTCACATCCCTAGGTTTCCTCAAATACTTTCAGATTAAATGTTTTAGTTAACTGCATTACAAACATGAGTCTTTGGGAAGGCTATATGACAGGAGGCAGACTAAGGCTGACTGAGCCTTATTTCTCAATGGTTAGAAGTTTATTAAATTTCCCTTAGGGGAAGTCATTAATTCAAATCTTTTATTACAGAAGGAACAGATGATTCCAGCAAAACATCCCAAGGCCTGATACATAACAACTTCTTAATAAATGCTTGCTGAATGATTACCTCAGGTCATTTGATGGGAGAGAGTCACATTAAGGACAAGAACCCATTTTTGTCCTATCCTGAAGCTAAAATGGATTGCTATCCCAGGAATGGCCTGGTAAATAAAGCACCCATAGCATTAGCTCCCCCAAGTTACTGATTCTGGTAACTCTTTCAAGCATGTTTATTACAATGTATATGTAACATTCCCAAAGTAGCAACAGCTTTGACACATGACAAATTATATTCTTCCTCAACATTATGCCTGGAAGTATCAGAATAACTGACATGACAGCTGAACAGAGGGGAGTAATCAAACAAAAAAATGGTGAAAACAGTTTTCGCAATGGCTAAAAGCAAATGACTAACTAGTTTACTAACCTAAGTAATTAATGAAATTTCTCATAACTTTCTAAAGTCCCTCAGTCTCAAAAATGTGATTTTATACTGATTTTTATTACCAAAAGGCAGAAAATTGTACCATTAACTCTGAATTTCAGTTTTTTCCACAGACCCACATTTGCTTATGCTTACATTTTCTGGTTCCTCTGTTAGAGGTGAAGAATGAGTCATCCCTTCCCCTTCTCTGGAGCTAATAATTGATTGAAGGGCCAGCTCTTCAACCTAAAACATGAGACAGCTGGGTCACTTTGCCTTCCACTATACACTCGCAATGAAGAGGAAAGAACAAAGCTCACACTGTATTCTAAGGCAGGGGAAATGAAATACAGTCTTGTGATTGCTCTCTGCTACCAGCCCCGGGTGGGAAGAGAGAAGCTCCTGACATGCACTGTCCTTACAAGGAAGAGGGCAAGGGAAGCCCTCTCCTGCTTGTGTTCCCCCTGAAGAGAAGAAAAGTGCCCCTTCTCCAGCTGAGCTCACTTTAAGTCAAGTGCTACTACCAAGCCCAAATACCCCCAAGGGGAACAGAGACTAAGGTCTCTTCCTCCTAGCCTCTTAAAATTTTTCCTGACCAGTCCTGGATCAAGGTGGCTAGGGATGGTTTTTGTGTTGGCAGGTGTAGGAAGGTGCACTGGAGAGAACATGAGTGATGGATGTCATAGGAGCAGAGGACTTAGAATTGGAAGGAACCTTTTGAGATAATCTGCTACAACTCTTTACAGATGAGGAAAACACGTCCCCCAAGAGATTAAGTGACTTAAATTGCTAAGGACCAACATTAGCCTTCAAACCTGAATCCTCTTACTCTTTGACTAGCCCAGGCTGCCTCTCATTAATTATCATCATTGCCATCAAACAACTGAATACCTACTGTGCTAGGTAGGCACTATGGAGTACACAGAAGTATGACACAAGTCCTAGGGAAACAGCGGATCAAGGAGAGCTAAGGCATGAACACAGGAAAAGATAACTACCAAATTACATAGACAAAAAAACCAAACCCAAAGTTCAGACTAGATCGATCTCTGTGGTCTATATTGGTAAGCCATCAAGAAAGAGACTTGAGAGGTGGGAAAGTTGGATGAAGGAAAAAAGCATTCAAGGTGAGAAAAGAAGTAACCTTCATCTGGTATCTTCCATGTTCTTTCTGAGATGATAAGATCTGGTCCCAATTTACGGTCCAGACATCTCTTACTAGGGTTCTTTAAACATCCTACAGTACAGCCAGATTGGCCTCTTAGTTGTGCTTTACCATGGTATCTGCTGAATTCCTATTCATCCCTCAAGTTCTGATTCCAGGGCATCTCTTCCACGAAGTTTTCAACAATCCCGCAGAGTGAAAAGTTTCTCCCTCTTCTGAGTTCTGAACTGTTCTTTAATATGTTACCTGAGGGAGTGACTGCATTATGGCTAGTACTAATAGAATTGTGTTCCTGATATCCCATACCAGATTATATGTTTCTTGATAGCAAGTCCTGGGATTTTCTCAGGAGATCGCTTAGTTTAGAGATCCGTCCAATCGGGGTGGGGAACCTGTGGCCTCGAGGCCACATGTGGCCCTCTAGGTCCTCAAGTGCGTCCCTCTGACCGAATCCAACTTCACAGAATAAATGCCTTGAATAAAAGGATTTGTCTGTCAAACTTGGACTCAAAGGGCTGCACCACCCTGACACCTCCCCCCACGACAGGAAAGGAAGATGAGGCTGAAAGAGATGAAGAGGCTTCCTCCAGGAGCCTTGCCTGCTCCTTCCTTCCCTCCAGGAGAACATACTCTACGTTTACTTTTTACACGCTTTTAATTTACTTATTCGTGTGCATCTTGCCGTTACCCCCGCCCCAACAGAACGTACGAGCTCACACGGCTCCACAAAACGCTCGCTGCAGAGCGGAAATCCAGGATTCCCTGATTTTGGCCCTAGACCCCAGAAACTTTAGGGTTAAGAGTCCTTCAAGGCCGCCTTTTTAGGGTGATGGGTGGGAGGGAGCCACAGGGGTCCAGGACCGGAGAGGGGCGTGGCTGCTGGCCTCCGCTCCTTGTCTCTCCCCTCCCTCCAGGGGGCGGCTCCTCCTCGAGGGGCCCCACCCCGCCAGGTCCCGCCCCAGGCCCCCCTCCCGGGGCCTCGGGGCCGCCGGTGGCGCAGTCACCTTGAGCCGATTGAGCTGGTCATGCAACGCCGCCTTCACCCGCAGCAGAGTCTCCTCCTCCTTGCGGAGCTCCTGCAGCCGGCTCAGCATGTTGCCTGCTAGTTGCCTTCAACGCGCCTTCCTCTCTCAGGCAGAGGCCGTGGGGAGGCGGTCTGACGACAGTGAGGCCCCATGCGGAAGAGGCCGGGCAAGCGGACATTTTTGAAGAGGGCGAGCGAACCACTTCCGGTTTCCGACTCTCCCACTGAGGGTTCTTAGCGTAGCCACCGGAAGTGATTTCTAAGAGGGATGGCGAGTTTTCCCGGTTTTGCGTTCCAGGGAGAAGCCGCCACTTTTCCTGCCCGCCTCATGGAGATTAGGCCTCTAGTTTAGTCTGGACTATAGCGTACTGTGTACTAAAGGCAGCCCCACACTCTCGGGCTGAGACTTTTAGTACGAGGCCCTCTGTAACCTTATCCCCGGTAACGCGGGGATGCTGGGCTACTCACCAGGCGGATCCCTCGCAGGGGAGTCCCCTAGTGGCAACAAAGCCATTAGCTCCGGGCTGCTGCCTCACTTTGACTCTGCTCCCTAGTGCCGGACCTCCGGACTTTTACCTTGTACACCCTCCAGCTCCCGAGCACTTCCACTGGTTGTCCCACACCCCTCCCTGTAGTTGTGTCCGATTCTTCGTGACCCCATTTGGGATTTTCTTGGCAGATACAGGAGGGGTTTGCCATTTCCTTCAGCTCATTTTACAAATAAGGAAAATAGGGCAAAAAGGGTTAAGTGATTCACCTAGGGTCACTCAGCTAGTGAGTGTTTGAGGCCAGGTTTGAACTTGGCAGATGAGCCTTCCTGACTCCAGGCCCAGTGCTGCTGCCCTCAACCCTCCCAGCTATCTCCCATTTATTGTCTGTCCCCTACCCTGACTCAGGCTTACTAATTGAGTGGGCCCTTAATTTCCAGGTGACTGAGTGATTAAAACATCAAATTCTCCACTTCTTTTGCAAGCACCTACCTAGCTTATAACTATCTTGAAACTTTTAGGGCCTATACATAGTTAAATGTTTTAAGTGGTATGGCAGCCAGCATCTGGTATTTAACAAATGTCTTGAATTCAAGGCCCAATTACAGCACTACCTATTTAAGCAACCAGGTTAACTTAAACTTTGTTGTGAAAAAGAAAGGAAGCTTTTGAAAACTTGTATTTGTGAAAATTAAATACTTCAAAAAAGTTTTTGGTTTTTTTCCCCCAAAGCCACTTTGAATATTTATTCTTTAGAAATTCACAATATTGACACAATGAATTGTGGCCCAGTGGATAAACTGATATGCTGAGTTTATGCTGCAGGCTTCTTTTCAGCTGCAGGTTTTTTTTGTGCAGCAGGTTTCTTTTCAGATGCAGGCTTCTTTTCCACAGGTTTCTTTGCTGCTGGAGGTTTCTTTTCCCCGAGCTTCTTTTCTGCTGGTTTCTTCTGCCCTGGAACCTTCTTTGCTCCTGCAAGCTTCTTATTACCTACAAGCTTCTTCTTCTTCTCATCTACTGCCTTCTTTGCCTCCATAATCTTCTTTAGTGCAGCAGCTCTTTTATTTTCTCTGATTCTCCGCTGCAAAGGATTGGGAAGAAGAAAATAAGGAAACCAAAAAAATTGATTGAAATTAGAAAACCAGTACAGAATTTGCATTACTTACATTTTTAGCCTGGCGTAGAATTGTATTCCGGCGCATTGTCTTGGCATATGGGTTCAGTTTCACCATGATTCTCAAGTTCTTCAGTGGGTTCTTCTTGAGTACTCGTCGATGAATCTTTTTGCTGCAAAGTACCAGATATATTTTGTATTAACATACTTCTAGAAACATCATATTCTAAGCTGTGGAAATTGTATAGTTTACCACTAATAAACAAAAGTGAAGCTCTAACTACCACTGTAGTTAGATGCTGATAACTTGTTAATTTACCGTGGTGCACGGAGGGCCCTTCGTATCTCTGGGCTTTTCAAAATCCTGGTCAGGTCTGTGTTGGTCATCTTGTGCATGGGAAGACTGAAAGGGGGGAAAATTCAGGATGTTTCTTATGAGAATCAGGGTGCTTTATGTTCAAAATGAAAATCTGAAAAATTTTGTGCTAAGTTTCACCACTAAAAGATCAGAATCAGAAACTCCACTAAGATCACAAGCTTCAGAAACATGGACCAATGAAGTGGAATCTCATCATTTCTACTATTCTTATTTCAGTAATATTAAACAGTTCAACTTAGAAAACACTTACTTGTAGTGACTCTTCAGGGTAGCAGGTCTGCGCCATGTACCATACAGGTCATCCAACTTTCGGAAAGCACTTTCAGTCCAAATACAGAAACGCCCCACATGCCCACCAGGAGCAAGTCTCAAAAGGTTCAATTTACTCACATTAAGAAGAGTAATACCTATAAGGTAAAGCAAAGTATAAATAACTGTTCCATCTACCTTTCTTGCCAGATAAACAAAGGCATTTAAATACACACAACTGTTACACTGAAGCATAATACATCACAAATGAAATTCTTTCCAATGCAGTTATAGTACATCAACAAAGTATCAGAACATCCAACAGAATCAAGTATTCATAAACCGACTATGAAATTAGAATCGCATCTTTACAAAGCTATTTTCTATATTCAGAGAAAAAACCTTCTAAGTCCAACTGTAATGTGACCATAACTGTTAAAGGCTATCCTAGTGGACCTTCAGCTCTGGCCACTTATACTTAGGCAGAAAAAGACTTTCAAATGAGGTTAAGTTCAAGAGGTCCACCAGAAATGTTGCCTGCAAGCCAGTAAATTTTTCAAAGAGGCAGAGTGCTCACACTGATGAAACCATTTAATTCTTAATGTATTTTAGTATATTAAGGAAAAAAGTTACCAGGAATGTTTCTGAATGCCTTGATGATACCATTGTCTTCATTATAGATGATACAAGGTCCTCTACGCTGGATCCTACGACGGTTTCTCATTTTACCCTTACCAGCTCGCATACGCTGAGAAGCATAGACCTTTTAAAAAAAAAAGTCTTTCAAGAGCCATCTTATTGTAAAATTTCACATTATAAATAATACTAAGTAATAATTCTTAAACTGAAGAAAATCAGATTTAAGTTCTTCCCAATGTAACTACATACAGGCTACCAAGCATCAGAACTTCCACAAAATCATGCTGTTTCAGAAACACGGACCATGAAGTGGAATCTCATCATTACAAGGCTGTAATAATTACAGGCAAAACATCAGACTAAATTTCACTCTGATGTGAGTCCACTGGACTCCTGAAGGCCAAACCCATCTTTCCAATTTCAACTTAATTCCCCTCTCAGGTCCAGCCAAATGGACCTTGGTGCTATTCCTCATAGATGACACTCTATTCCCCTCTATATGCTTTGCATTGGCCACTTTTCATACCTGGAATTACTCCCTTCACTTTCATGAGAGTATCCTTTACTTCCTTCAAGACTAAAAAACCAACTCCCCATACAGAAATCTTTCCCAACTCACCCCCAGCTACTAATCCCCTTCCTTCCAAAATTATCATTTCTTATTCTTTATGTTTTCAAGGTAAGCTCCTTGAAAGCAGACACTTTCACTTTGCCTTACAAAGGACTGAAAAGGTATTAAATCTCTGGGGCAGAGTTACTTTTATTTCCCAATTCTAACTCTTTGCATCATACTAATCTGCCTGAGAGGATTAAATGAAACCTGAATATTCAAACCTCATTTTCCAATTTTAGATGTTACTTTTCTTTACCACTATAGTGAGACTAGACACAATGCGCCCAATTAATTCACCTTTTTTATGTCATTCCATGCCTTCAGCTTCTTAAGCAGCAAAACTGCTTCCTTGGTCTTCTTATAACCCTCCACTTTATCTTCAACCACCAGAGGAAGTTCTGGGACTTCTTCAATTCGATGACCTGAGTAAAATAAATTATTTTAGTTATACCTGTCCATATTTCATAGAAAAATAAGTTCAAGAAAATGTTCCTGAACACATAAAGTCAGCCACAAAAGACACACAAGTTAACTTGCACATCTGTCAGTTATCAAATATAGGCAGCTGGTGGCATAGTAAATAGAAAGCTGGGAATCAGGGAAGCCCTGAGCTAAAATCTGGTCTGAGAGCCTTACTAGCTGTTATGATCCCAGCAAGTCACTTTACCTGTCTGCTTCAGTTTCTTCATCTGTTAAATGGGAGTAATAAGAGCATCAACCCTAATGATATTTGTAAATTATTTAGGACAGTGCCTGGCACATATTAGGAGTTATATAAATGCTTACTCCCTTTCCCCCTTCCCCTTTCTTATCACTGGTTCCCAAACATGGTCTCTGAGGTGGAATTTCAGAGATCTCTACACTAAAAGAGTAATATGGACCAAAGTAGACTAACAGAATCAATAAATGCAGTCAAGATTCGTAAACGATGAAGAACATAACCCAGTCAATGTCCAAAGTTACATGCAAAGCCAGCTGATGATAAAAGTAGGACTGAAATTAAATTTATTTCCAATATTTCACCAAACCTATTTCACTAAAGCATATTATTTGGATGCCCCAAATATTGAGAATATTGCCTGTATTGCAACAGCGGAAGTGTCCTTCACTCAAACCATTCTAACTAAACATACCTTTTGACATGACCAGTGCTGGCAGGGCAGAGGCTGCCAAAGCAGAGCAGATGGCATAACGTTTTTGAGTTGTGTTCACTCTGCGATGCCAACGGCGCCAAGTCTTGGTAGGAGCAAACATTCGACCTCCTCGGCACATCTATTTTTCCAGTCAAGAATCCAATTTACCATTTAAAAAATTTATAAAGCTTCTACTTAGATCTTGCTCAGAGAAACTTTTTCAGCAACCTTCTGTACCAGCTTACTGACAGCAGGCAACTGTCACTGAAAACAGAGTAAGGCGCAAATTACAGCATCATAGCAAGCTAATTTTCTTTATGTGGTAGCCACCCCCCTTTATGAATATTTAGTGTTCACTAAACATGCAAAGTCCTGGGGAGATGCTTTATAGGTATACACACACTAGCAATTAAGTTTCACTACCCACCTCATAGGATTGCTATAGAGAATAGCATAGGCCATACATGAATGACCACAAAACACTGGAGGTTTACATCAAGTAAGCAATAATGACTAACTTCGTAACATCATGTTTAGGAAAAAATGAATAATAAGGATACGTTTCCAAAAGC